CAAGGAGCAAGCGTCTTTTAATTTCATGGCTGCAGTCACTGTCTGCATTAATTTTGGAGCCCAAGAAAATGAAATCTGACACTGTTTCCATATATTCCCCATCTATTTGCCATGAAGTGATGGGACTGGATGCCACGATCTTAAGTTTTTGAATGTTGAGTTTTAAGCCAGCCTTTTCACTCTTCTTGCACCTTCATCAAGAGGCTCTTTAGTTCCTCTTCGATTTCTGCCATAAGGGTCGTGTCATCTGCATATCTGAAGTTATTGATATTTCTCCTGGCAATCTTTTTCCAGCTTGTGCTTCATCCAGCCCAGCATTTCGCATGATGCATTCTGCATATAAGTTAAAAAAGTAGGGTGACAATATACAGCCTTGGCACACTCCTTTCCCAGTCTGTGGTTCCGTGTCTGGTTTTAACCGCTGCTTCTTGACCTGCATACAGATTTCTCAGGAGGCAGGTAGTGGTCTGGTATTCCCATCTCATTAAGAATATTCCACAGTATGTTATGATCCACACAAAGGCCTTAGCATAGTTAATGAAGCAGAGGCAGATGTTGTTTGGAAGTCCCTTGCTTTTTCTATGGTCCAGCAGATGTTGGCAACTTGATCTCTGGTTCTCTGCCCTTCCAGCTTGTACACCCAGAAGGTCTCAGTTATGTACTGCTGAAGCCTGGCTAGAAGGATTTTGAGCATAATCTTGCTGGCATATGAAATGAGTGCAAGTGAACAGTAGTTTGAACATTCTTTTTTTTTTAATTTATTTTAACTGGAGGCTAATTACTTTACAATATTGTAGTGGTTTTTGCCAATTTTGAACATTTTCTAGCATAACACATACCTTAATTTAAAAATACTTAACTGCTAAAAATATGGTAACCATCACCTCAATCTTCAGCAAGTGTTAACATCAAACATCTCTGATCACAGATCACCATAACAAATAAAATAATACTGTGAGAATTACAAAATGTCACAGACCCATGAAGTGAGCCAATGCTGTTAGGAAAATGCCATCAACTGTCGTGCTGACATAGGGTTGTCACAAATATTCAACTTATAAACAACACAGTATCTCTGAAGCCCAACACACGAGGTACACCAGTGTGATTCAGCTCGTTGAGCTGAAGCATCCAAAGGTAAGGATGCAGTCTCAAGAATCTCACACACCCAGCACAGAATTTACCACCTTCATGCTTCAGTTAGGAACCGTTAGTTAGCAAACTATGCAAGAGCAAGACTCATTTAGGAGATTTCTTGTAAGTAAGTTATGAGGTGTCACTATGACACCACCAAAGTCAAGTCACAGGAACTTCACCAGAGGAGGAGGGGAGATGGGGAGCAGGCTGAGGCTGTCACAGTGAGTGAGAGTGAGGCACGCAGAGACCGAGAAGACTTCAGAGGGTAACATGGCCTGCGGAAAGGTGTGGCGTGGAGGGGGAACTCCACACAGCCTCAGTAGTCTCAGATGCAAAGACGGCAGCCTTTGATAAGAGGGCAGCAGCAGGCACCGCTCTAAGACATGTGATATCCTCAGGCCAGGATCTAACTGTGGGCGGCAGTAACCCAGGGGTCAGTTTTGGATAAATATCATGAGGGCATTCCCTTCCTTCTCACATACAATAAGGAAAAGGGGTAGTTGATAATCTGTGTATCCAAGGTTTGGTGGATTTATTAAACTTTCCTTCAAAGGCCAACTGTCATGTTGGAGAAGACTCTTCAGAGTCCCTTGGATTGCAAGATCAAACCACTTAATCCTAAAAGACATCAACCCTGAATATTCATTGGAAGGACTGATGATGAAGCTGTAGGTCCAATACTTGTGGCCACCTGATGCGAAGAAGCGACTCATTAGAAAAGACCTGATGCTGGGAAAGATGAGGGCAGGAGAAGAGGACAACAGAGGATGAGATGGTTGGATGGCATCACCAACTCAATGGACAATAGTCTAAGCAAGCTCTGGGAGGTGGTGAAGGACAAGCAAGTCTGGTGTGCTGCAGTCCATGGAGTCGTAAAGAGTCAGACATGAGCAACTCAACAACAACAAAACTATCCTCGTCATCCCAAACAAGGTCAGATGCACTGCTCTTTAGAAAGGCATACAGGACTTCCCTGGTGGTCCAGTGGTTAAGACTCTGCACTTCCACTGCTGGGGGTGTGGGTGTGATCCCTGCTCAGAGGACTAAGATTCTGCGAATTGCATGGTGAAGCCCCTTTCCCGTCCCCTGCCCAAAAAGGCATATAGGGGCACAGTCATTAAAGAGAAGTTTGGAATCCAACTGCAATAATAACCCACTAGCCAAAGGAAACCCCGTAACTGACACTTGAAGATTCCGGAGAGTTTAAATGCCTTGAGGTCTATCAGGATCTGGGTGTATTCTCTGCTCTGAGATTAAATGTCCTAGATATCAAACATGTGTTTGGACAAATTGCAGTTTTTCCTCTGAGACCTTACATCCCTTAATGGCTAAGATGTTTAACGGGTGAACAATGTCTTTCTGTGGAAATTTTGGGAGGGCGAGCAAAGCAGCAAACCATCTATACATTGCAGTAAGGTGGTATCTCCAGAGAACTCTGTATGTCACTTAAGCCTTTAAAACCTGTGAGAAGGGCTTCCGCGGCGGTCCAAAGGTTAAGAACCCACCTGCCAATGCAGGAGACACGAGTTCCATGCTTGGACTGGGAAGATTCCACAGGGCAAGGAAGCCTGCGCACCACGGCCTAGCCCACGCGCCGGTGCCCTCGAGCTGCGACCACTGAGCTTGCGCCCCTAGAGCCCCTGAGCCTAGAGCCCGAGCTCCGCAGGAGATGCGGCCACAACGAGAAGCCCACGCACCACGGGACAGGAGCCCCCGCTAGCTGCAAGCAGGAAAAGCCCGTAAGCGGCAACAAAGACCCAGCACAGGCCAAAACAACTTTTAAAAAATGCCTTAAAAAACAAACTGTGGAAAAGGGAACCTCAGCAAAGCCCCCAATGCATGACTGTCCAGGTACATTGCTGTCCTTCCCAAGCAAAGGCTGGAAGTTACATTTATCAACAGGAATACAAAAAGAAAAAAACCAAGCACCACATAAGTTGCCCACAGTGAAAAAGTTGCTTCCAGTAGAGATGAACACCAGTAATAGCACATGGGGGTTAGAGACGGTGGGGCAGCAAGGAATCACAATGCTGCTTGCTGCCCAAGGCCCTGGACACACCCCGCCTGGCGGTCAGCTTTCTGACAGGTCATCGGGCTCGACAAGGATGCGTGCGTGGCCCAGCGTGGCCCAGTCTGGGACAGAACCAGGGCCTGAGCACCGAGAGCGTGGCACTGGGCCAACCAACACGGAAAGGCCGTCTCCCCCGCCTCCTCACCGGCAGGATGGGGCAGCCCGCGTGTCCTCTGAGGCTGTGGGTTCTCAGAGGGTTACCACTGTCTGAACTTCCAATTTCAGCAACCCGTTCTCCGCGGCCATGCGTCTCCATCTACTAGAGCTGTCTTTCTCTCGGTGTCATCTTCAGGGATCCAGGCCAACTGACTGTCCAGACTGACAGACCAAGGTAGACACTGTCTCCAATTCTATACAGGTTGTTCCAACAGGTCTCTGGTTAGGTCACTTACAAACACGGAATTAGAAGCCACCTCTGTGGACTCAGCATCGGTAGAAAAGCCTGACTTAGCCCTGAGAACAACGTGGAGCCTACCATAACAGCTGCGGACGGACACGGCGGGCCTCTGGGTGCACACCTGCCTCGCACTCCAGCCCAGGGACTGGGGGCCGGCTCCAGGCTCCGTGCAGGTTTTCAGCTGTACCGCAGCTCGGTCACATCAAAGGGCCACTGGTTGGTTTTGTTTAAGCTTCAGGGATTGCTCAGGGTTTTCTCAGCTGGTTGCCTTGGTCCAGCATTAGGCCTAACTTATCTGAGACAAGCATACGGACTGACTGACACAGGCCGGAGGGACCAGGCTGGCAAATCGGGGTTACAGGACTGAACTCATCCCCAGGTCTATGAGGATGCGTTACCTTGGGAAAGTCCATGCAGCCCTAAGCTTGACCTTTGCCCATGGGGTGGAGGAAACCTGCTATGATTTAGTAGGATCCTCAGGTCTGATTTTGAAAGGGAAAGTTTTAATGGGCTTGGCTGATGAGGTTTCAGTGACAAGAAAGAAACGAAGTTCGGGTAAGGGGCGGGGAGGATAAGGAGGCAGCAGAGAGAGATACTGGAGAAGGAAATGGCAACCCACTCCAGTATTCTTGCCTGGAAAATCCCACAGACAGAGGAGCCTGGTGGGCTACAGTCCGTGGGGCCGCAAACAGCCGGACACGACTGAGGGACTAAGCAGAGAGATACAGAGGAGACGGAGGAGCAAGGGTAGGAAGGACCTCAGCTCACACCAAGGAAGAGGCCTCTGACGTCTTGCAAACCCACCTCCCGTTGTGTACCAGGTTCCATCTGGAAACAGTGTTTGGTAAGGAGGCAATTGTATGATCCTGAACACACTTAGAAGGCTCCAGAGAACAAGTACAGAAATGACTCCATGTGGATGGTTCAACCTGGTAGCTGCGGTTTTCTAACTTGGAGAAAAACAAATTTGGGGAGGGCAAAGGTTCCTTGGAATTCCGTTATCCTTAGTAAGACTGATCCATTCAGTTAAAAATCCGCACATTTGTAAGTGGAGACCCTTAAACACATCCGAGTTCCTGAAGGGGCCGCCTTTAGAACCTTCAGATGACTGGGATCCCGCTGTTGGATTCAGAATGAAACAGCACTCACCAGACAACCTGTCCCTACCCAGACCCCAAATACAGTCAGAGTGTTCATCCAAAAGGAGGGGCTTGGGGTCCGAGGGGAGACTTCCCAGATGAAGTCACGGCAGCCTGCGGGAGGAAGGGCACCTAGGGCTCGCTGGGGTCCCCTGCTCACTGGAAGGGGTCATTTCTTGGCGGGTGCCTCCTCTGGAGCCCACATCTCACACCATGCAATGACAACCTACAAGAAAGGAGGCAAACTGAGGCCAGCTCAAGTTACCAGAAACCGAGTTTATTTGCGAGAGCAGAACTGCATATGGAACACACAAACTCAAGTGAGCGACAGGTGAGTCTGCAGGTTGAGGGCAGGCTGCTTCTGTGGGCACAGAGTGCAAGAGGGGAAAATCCGGCGAGGAGCCGTGCAGCAAGCTCCCTGACCGAAGATGGACAGAGAATGCTGGCAGATGCCGGCTGGTTAGAGCACAAGGCTCAATCTTCTGCGAACTGGCAATTTCGGGAAGTCGGTCTCATAGTCTGGAACCGTCATCTTCCTGAGGGCGCAAGCACGAGTTTCCCATTCGTATCCTTTGATTCCATTTCAGATGAACATCCTTGCAGATTTCCAATTCAGACGCTGGTGGCCTTTCCCCACCACCTCCACCGCCCACTTCACTTCCTGCTGCCACTCCCACCGCTCATTTCAACCGGCTGCTGCACTGTTGGAACAGGTGACAATCCCCTGCCCAGTCAGGGTCGGGGCCAGCACTGCAGCAGCACCCCAAGACACCCCCGTCCACAAACAGTGCGAAACACGCCCCCGGTCCTGCTCACCGTGCAGCAGTCTCAAGGACTGAAACGGCAGCCGACGATAAACATCTGGTAATGGACAAACGCCCTCCTGCAGGACAGAGGTCAAAGAGGTTCACCTCCCCACAGGACGCCACCACTCCAACGTGACACCAGACTGATACAGACATCCTATTCCGGGTGACGCGATGACAAAGCAGTTAAAATTAAACACAACAGAACATTCCCCGTACCCTGAGAAGGTGCTAAATCAAGGAAAGAAAAACAGACAATGAGTTTAAAAAATGGAAAATACTTCAAGGTCAAAACAACACCAAGCCAGAACTCAACACTGAACACAAAGCACACAGACAGTAATCTGGTTTGGCCTGGGTTTGAAAACCGCTGCCATCATTTCCTAGCTGCGCAACCTCAGCTTCAACACCCATAAGCAGGGCCTACCTGAGAGGCAGCCGTGAAGGGGGGCGCAGCACAGAAGCGCCCAGGACGTGATCTACTCCAAGCCTTCTCGGCTGTTACAGCCACTAACTGTTGTTAGATCCTACTTTTCCCTTGCCACAAAACCTACAAACCGGGGCACTGTAAACATGACTACCCTTATCTAAGAAACGATAACCTAGTATAGTGACACATCACAAACACGTGGCAGTTCAGTTAGTCAAGCCTCACCACCACTATTTTAATATAAACTTTCTTAAAATAGAAACTTATAAGGAATTACCAAATTTGCAGGTTTAAGAAGTATAACCATCCATTTGTTTTAAATGTTAGCATACTCAGTTTAATATTAATTTTATGAAAACACAGATCCAAACCTCATCAAAAGGATCTCTTACTTTTAAAAGGCAATTAAGTTGAAATACGAAAAGAATACCAGGCAATAGAATATTCTAAAATTTCAAAAAAAACATAGCTATTGTTTCCCTTCCAGGGTCAAACAAAAACCTTGAGCCTCTAACTCTAAATCTGGATTGGCATGCAAATTTCCATGATTACATAAATGAATATTCTGCTATTTATATAAGACACCTCACAATTCTATTTATGGATTAAACTTATTTTTTTACCCCAAACTTTTCATAAGGGAAAACATTTTGGTTGCAAATTATTCAATATAACTTTAAATTCTTAATTTTTAACTGAAAACATTTAGCCCATAGAGAGTAATTCCATAATTTCAAACTGGACCACTGTCAAGAGACAAGGTGTGAACTGGGGAATATGGTCGCCCCTCACATAACCAAACCTGTTTATACATGTATGACCTATCTTAAGTCAAAGGTCTTCAATATCTTCCCATGAGATAACTGAATGATTAAAATCAACTTAAATGTAATCCATATATTTCTGTAAGACTTTAGAATTTCAACAGAGCCTATAATTCTTATTAAATGAGGGTGGCCGTCAAATGAACCCCACAGCACAATCACTGGGTTCACATGAAAGTCTGAGGGCTGGTGATCCCGCTCTATCCACCTAAGGTGGAGCCCGAGCAGTCCTCCAGGATTACCAGGCCACATTCTGGCCCAGGGCAGAGAAGCCATTCTATTCCAAGAAGGAATCAGTATACTACCCCCAAGACATCCCAACGCCTCCACCCACAAACCCTGGCCCTTGGACAGAGCCTGATCAGGGGAGTCTCTGTCACTGCACTCCTTAGTTCAGGAACTGTGTTGGATTCACTATGCCAGCCGGTAAGTGAAAACACACCTAGAGTAAACAATCAGATCACTTATGTAAATAGTTGAAATCATAGAAAATGTCTTTGTAAATCAACAAACTCTTCAATATACTTGTAATCTCTTAGCAGTTAAAAAAAATTGTCCAGGTCCTAAACTCATACAAGTAGTCTTAAAATTATGTTCAAACTGATTTCAAACATGTGTAATGACTGAAAATCTTACGTGCACTTTTTCTTTTGTCATGATCAAAAAATTATTTTAAAAAATCATATATAGTACATGTTTACAGATGAACTAAGACTGCCAAGTAGTTAATTTATGTCACCAAGTGTTAGTTATGCATGGGGGAACCACAACCTCTGTACATGTCTGAAGCTGTTTATTAGCATGTTTTTTAGAAAAAGAATGGATAAATGATTCAATGTAGCTGAAGCTCCAATTCTCTGGTCACCTGATGCAAAGAGCCAACTCACTGGGAGACTCTGATGCTGGGAAAGATTGAGGGCAGGAGAAGAGGATGACAGAGGATGAGATGGTTAGAGGGCATCACTGACTCAGAGGACATGAACTTGAGCAAACTCCAGGAGATGGTGAAGGACAGGGGAGTCTGGCGAGCTGCAGTCTATGGGGATGCAAAGAGCCGGACACGACTCAGCAACTGACAAATGACCCATGTCTGCCTTCCCACTGAAGACCAAGTTCCACGGAGGCAGAGGTCTAACTACCTGCTCAGCGCAGCCATCCCTGGGTCCAGCACAGGACGAGGCAGAAGACAAGGACCAGGCAATACTCCCCGCTGCCAAGGGACGGTCTGCTCACGAGCTGCCTGTGTGCAGCCCGACATCAGCGACCCTTCACACTCGAAGCCTCTCCTAGGCAGGTTCTGAAGACACACAGGAAGTTACCTCTGTCCAGAGAGGAGGGGAGACTGTCTCTTCAGAAGTTTGCTGGAGATCAAGCCCTCCGTTTTCACAAAGAAAGTAAGAAAGTTTCCTTTCCTTAACCAAAACAGTCTATTTTTACTGGAGGCACAGTGGTTCTTCATTGCTATAGCTCCAATTTCCTCCTCCTCTCTCTTCTCTGCAATTCTTTGTATATAACTGAACGAGTCAAACATTTCAAAGTTTTCTTAATCTGAGGTCTTGTTACCTTGTCAATAACATGGTCTCCTCTATTTCAAACTGCAAACACCCAAGTCCCTATTCCTTCTTTCTACTCCTGTTTTCAAACGCACCGACCACTATCTGTCTCCCACTGTGGAAATACGTGAGGGCAAGGTCTTTCATCTGTTTTGTTCAGTGCAATAAAATACCCCAGTACCAGAAGCCTAGAACTACCTAGCAGAGAGATGGCATTCACGGATGAACAGATGTAAGGCACGGAAAACTACTTCACGGTAACTGGGTAAACGGCGCCGCTTCTTGTTGCTGTTTGCTGCCTAAGTCGGGGTCCAACTCTCCTGCGACGCCATGGACTGTGGCCTGCCAGGTTCCTCTGTCCATGAGACTTTCCAAGCAAGGATACTGGAGAGGGTTGTGTCGCCATTTCCTTCTCCAGGGCATCTTCCTGACGCAGGAATCAAACCCGCATCTCTTGCATGGCAGGCAGATTCCTTACCACTGAGCCACCTGGGAAGCTGGATAAACAAAGACTAAGGTTTTAGATCAGAGCATCCCCAACTTCATTCTCAGAACCTGTGCACGTGTGTAAGCTGTACAGTCGCCCTCTCTGCCACACCACACAACTACTACACAGAATTCATCTTGGCTTGTTTTCGAACAGGCTTTTGGGGATAAGAATAAAATGCAGTGTGTGTGTGTGTGTGTGTGTGTGTGTGTGTGTGTGTGTGTGTGTGTAACTTAATTTTTAAACACTAACCAAAGGAACAAACAATACTTACTCAATCTAGAGTNTGTGTGTGTATGGTATGTGTGTGTGTATGGTGTGTGTATGGTATGTGTGTGTGTGGTGTGTGTGTGTGTGGTGTGTGTGTGTGGTATGTGTGTGGTGTGTGTGTGGTGTGTGTGTGTGTGTGTGGTGTGTGTGTGTGTGTGTGGTGTGTGTCGCTCAGTCGTGTCTGACTCTTTCCGACCCCATGGACTGTAGCCCACCAGACTTCTCTGCCCGTGGAATTCTCCAGGCAAGATTACTGGAGTGGACTCCCATTCCCTTCCCCAGAGGAACGTCCCAATCCAGCGATCAAACACCGGTCTGCATCGCAGGCAGATTCTTTACCGTTCATTAAAAAAAAAAAAAAAAGTCCCACAGATCCAGAATGGAAGCATCTTTCCTAGAATGGAAGCACCTTTCCTAACAGCTGACAGAGTATATTTTAAGAGGAAAATTAAGGCTACACAGTGAATTGCCAAGATCAAAAGGCAGAGTTCATGAAGTGATCTTTTGTAGTTTTGCCCCTATAGAAATACACTGCCTCTCCTATTACTAAATACTCATGAAATTTAAAATTCAATGGCAAACAACGTAAAGTGGCCCTGCTTTCTCTGAAGAGAACAGGGCACAAACCAAAGGCTGTCAAACAAAAACAAATACACGGCATCATAAACTACTTCTTGAAAACTCCATTAACAGTCTAACAAAATTCTTCACTACCCATTAGCAAGGGTAGTGGTCAAGAAAAAAATATATCACAAGTGCAGTTTAGGAAGGAAGTGTTCACTGAACTAGGAGACAGTGTGCAAATCAAGCAATGCTGGAGGAGAGCGACTTCCTGCACCAGCTACCTGCCACTTCTGAAACCACCCCAGTGGTAGAGCAGTCTAACTAAGTAATATCAGCCTTTTATTAGGGTGGTACAAAAGTAATTGATGTTTTGGATCCTGAATTTTAAATCATTATAACTAGGCTCAAACACATCTTTATTAATCAAAATAAGAACCATTACAACCAACTCATTTTTGCCAATGAGAAATAAGTTGGTTTATTTCTCTAGAGTAAAAAAATCTGTGTTCAGGATTTAATCAACTCTTGGAAAGCATTTTCTGCCTCCTGCTGGCTGTACAAGTGCTTTCCCTGCAAAAAGCTGTCCAGCTGTTTGAAGAAGTGGTAGTCAGTTGGAGAGAGGTCAGGTGAATACGGTGGATGAGGCAAAACTTCGTAGCCCATTTCGTTCAACTTCTGAAGTGTTGGTTGTGTAACATGAAGCGAGAAGTTGTTGTGGAAAAGAATTGGGCCCATTCTGTTGACCAACGCCAGCCGCAGGCACTGCAGTTTTTGGTGCATCTCGTCAACTTGCTGAGCACGCCGCTCAGATGTCATGGTTTCGTCAGGACTCAGAAAGCTGTAGCAGGTCAGCAGACCAGTGACCAGGCCCTTTTTCGGTCCAAGCCCGGCTCTGCGGTCTTAGCTCACCAGCTGAGCTGGTCATCACCAGCAGCTGCATAAGACCCACTGTTCGTCCCACATCACAGTCTGACCAAGAGGTGTGTGCTGTTGTTACATCATGAGAAGGCGACACATCGAAACTGCGATTTTTCTGATCTACAATCAGCTCACCAGGCACCCATTTAACCAGCTTTTTCACCTTCCCAGTTTGCTTCAAGTGCCAAACGACTACAGTATGCTCAACGCTGGGCTCTTCAGCAACTTCTCGTGTAGTTGCAGGAGGAACAGCTTTGATGATGCTCTCAACTGTAGTCGTCAACTTTCAATGGCCGGCCACTACGCGCCTCATCTTCAAGGCTCTGGTGTCCTTTGCAAAACTTCTTGAACCACCAATGCACTGTACTCGTTAGCACTTCCTAGTTGCTGATGCTGCAAGTTGTCTCTGCTGCTTTACAGCCCATTTGAAGTCAAATAAAAAAAAAACTCTCAAATTTGCTTTTTATCTAATATTTCTACAGCCTAAATACAAACCACAAGTCATTAGCAAAAAACATAAAGCAAGAAATGCACATTAAAATGATGTATAACATTCCACATTTATTTTAGAATATATTCCAATATCAAACAGCATCATCATCAATGAAAACCATAATTACTTTTGCACCAACCTAATACTAAACCGTAATTACTTTTACACCAATCTAATACTTTGGCCGCCTAAACACCTCTTCCTTTAAAAAAACAAAAAAGTAAGCACTCTCCAAACAGCAGTACCAGACCAATCTCCCAACAAGCTCCTCAACATTGCCTTATTATTCAAACATGCCATCACTCAGAGCACCGTTTCTTCCCTGTTTCATAGAGTTGATGGCCCTTTAGGGCTTTGGGAATTTAAACCACCCACTGGCCCACAGACACTATCCATATAAAAAACCAAAAAAAACACCCTTGGTTCTCTGGCAAAACTTTCAAAAAGTACAACACAATCAAAACAATCTTAAACCATTTTAAAACTGTGGACAATAAACAAAAAGGAAGAAAAATAACTGAATGTAAGTAATTTTGAATTATATTAGCCCATGTATGGGTTTACATTTGAAGTCACACCTCCTGAAGCTAGGAGACAAAAAAAAAAAAAAAAAAGAAAGGATTTCAATGTCAACCCTACTTGGCCAGAAGTTGCAGACATGGAATTAATAAGGCTTTCAATATTAAGAAGCTAGTCAAAACCCTGACAGGTTAATGGAAATAGTAAGATTCAAGCAAGAATTCACAGGCTGTCATGCACTGATGAACACATACCAACTCTAAGCCCTCAATTTCTATAAAATCATGATCTCAGATTAAAATCTCTCAACAGAAAATATCACAGAAGGGTCTGATAATCTAAATAGTCAATTCACAAAACTACAGTATCTGTACACTTTTAGAGTGCAACAATCCTAAAACTTAAGTATCCTTTCCAGAATTCAGTTTACTAAACCTATCAAACCAAAAGTGATAAAATCAACTATTGCAAAGAATTCAACTTCTCCAATCACTATTCTATACAGTATTTTCAAAAATAATGCAAAAGTCACGAAAGTATTTAGATGTAAATTTGAAATACAAAGGCACAAATAACAGTGGACATTCTGAATTAGTAACATGGGTCAAAAAAAGACTGCAAAGTAGTAACAGGTGTAAGACAGCACTACAGTGTTGAAATTATTTTATATAATTATAAATAACTATTTTGAGAATAATTATTCTCATCATTCCATGAGAAGAGACTTCAAACTTCCAGTGAAAGCTTTCCTAAATAAACTTAAAACAGTCACATTTTACCTATAAAATGATCTCCCTTTGTCACTATAATTCTATAGGAAATTAAGTCTTGCAATGGTATTTTTATTGATCAAGTCTTCAATCAATCCTTCCAAATCTCAGAACAAATACGATACTATACCTTCGAAAGATGAAAGAAAAAAAATTTCCCTGTCACAAAACAAGTTAAAAAAAAAAAGCAGCTAATAAACTGAGAAAATTCATTTTCTAGCATTTCTTTCTCCTGGCAGCTCTACCTTAACAAGTTAACCACCAATAGATAACACTAATGTTTAAGCCACCTTCC